CCACCACAATGCCTATTTCTGCCGCGAAGCAGTAATGCGTTTCGGTTTGAAGGGCGGGGCAGCCGTTGTATCATTAAAAGTGAGACATTACAACTTATGTCTCAAGGTGGGTGGCGTTGTAGATGTCTATGGGCTCCGGTAACTACTTAACATCAGGTGAGCCGTGAGCTCGTCTACCCAGGTAAGCAATAAAATAATAATAATAAAATACTAATGTAAAGTGGTTACGAGATCCTATTGAGAACAATATGAATACCGTTGCCCATCTTAAGGTATGAGGTTCAAGCACGGAATAGATAAATAAGGTTCTTATTTATCTATTCCGTGGTTTCAAGTGTAAATAATATTGTTTTGCTTCAAACCGAAACTCATGACTGCATTACGGCCGAAATAGCAAAAGTAGGTATACGAACATACTAAATCGACTCATGCAAAGAATAACATTGTAAGTCACATTTAGCTAAAACTGAGTTACAATGTTATTTCGTGCACCTGCCGATATTTTCTCCTGCAAGCATTATTTTGCACAACGAAATTTTAAATAGATTTTACTGTTATCTGTCGTGACAGAATCTTTATTTTAGAAACCAGATGTATTTCGGACTGAAACTACTGAATCAGTAATGTTCAATTGTGTGTAATCTGGCAAATATCAACATTGTATGTGTGCTCTTAATAGCTCAGAGGGCACGGCCGATCATGTTTCTGTTATTACAATTCTTGCCAAATTCTGTCGGCAATGGTCCTTTCGAATATATAGATTTCGGTCGGACAATATTCTTAGTTTTACCCAGAGAGTTGTACATTTAAATCAATGGTTTTACCGCACATAAATCCAAAGACCCGTGTGTGGGTTTGGATATCCTAAGCTACATGATCCTATCACAAATACAACTAGTATGTTCATCTTTTGTTTTCAACCTGATTTTTTGTTTCCGATCCGGTGGTAGATTCTGCGAAGCACTGCTCTTGCTAGGGTCAGTGTTAGCAACACTCCGGTTTGAGCCCCGTGAGCTCACCTACACACGTTAGGGTGAAGATGAAATAGCCTCTCAAGGCTATCAGCACAGGTAGGAGGAAAAAAAAATTGCTTTTTGCTCACAGAAGCGGCAGGTGTCGGTCGGTCACTTTCTATTTAACTAGAATCTGTATTTTATGCATGTGATTGGCAGACCTCTATATAGAGTTTAAGATACGACAGAAGCTTACGCCTGGAAAAAAATCACATATGGTCACCTGGCCCCGAACTTGGTTTTCATGTACTAAATTCACTTGCAAATGATCTGTTCATAAGCATATATAGATATAATACCCAGTTACATGTGTGGATTTGGGAGAAACCTATGTCCAGCAGTGCACAGCTGTGGGTGACGATGATGACGATGCCCAGTTATGGAGCAAACAAAACTTCGTCAGGCGTATTTTAGTCCAAAGCAGGAGTCGAACCCATAGCCCTCGGCTCAGTAGTCAGGGGCACCAATCGCTTTCACCGGGATAATTGATGAAGTTGCAGATTAGAGCAAAATACTTTGGAACATCAGAGAGCTGATTTACTTTACACTGAAGCTAAGGTGGTAGTGAATGTTATACACACATATAATAGGCGCAAGGTCGTCATCATCATCATGATTCCAACCAATGCGGCCGACGAAAGCCGACAGCATATCCTACCGTTAGCATTTTTGAAACATTAGTTTGGGATAATGCGGACTATCTGATGAGGATGATTACAATTCAAATTACTAACAATGATTAATTTAAAATATGAGTCTCCAATCATTAGACATGGCGATCAAACATGAGATGTGGGAATCACACCATTCGCAGAAGGCAGCAATATAAATTATTAATGATCATTTCATTCCGTTAAGAACGATAACCCAGTTGTTCAACTCATTAATTTGATATATACTTATTGTTGTATTAAAGACTGAGAAACCTTCGGTGGTACAGAATGACGAAAAGAATCGTTCTTTCATTTTGATAGAGATCGTATATCATCTGGTAACCGTTTAGTACCGTTTGGTTCGACAGCTGCTATACTCATAAACGCTAAAATATACCTTTAATTTTAAATAGCATATATACATTTAATGTATGTTGTAGGTGCGTACTGAGTACGGATTCGATGTTGAAGGACAGTGATAAACTAAACTCGTAAAATATTTTGGTAAGCGTAAGACATTGATAAGATTGATTGACTTGAATGTACATGGAATTTGTCACGTTGAGTTGAATGCAAGTGTATTAATTTGAAATTATTTAATAGCAATTGTCTAACAAATCAAAACTGTTTTATTATTTTAATTAATTTTCGTAATTTGCTATGCTAAGCTGCGTTGATTATAATTTTTATTGGATTTTATTATTTTGATTAATTTTTATTAAGTCGTCGTGGTCTAAAAGATAAGACGTCCGGTGCATTCGTATCGAGCGATGCAACGGTGTTCGAATCCCGTAAGCGGGTACAAATTTTTCTAATGAAATACGTACTTCATAAATTATGTTCACGATTGACTTCCACGGTGAAAGAATCGTGTAATAAAAATCAAACCAGCAAAATTATAATTTGCATAATGACTGGTGGTAGGACTCCTTGTGAGTCCCCAAGGGTAGGTACCACCACCCTGCCTATTTCTGCCGTGAAGGAGTAATGCGTTACAGTTTGAAGGGTGGGGCAGCCGTTGTAACTATACTGAGACCTTAGAACTTATATCTCAAGGTGGGTGGCGCATTTACGTTGTAGATGTCTATGGGCTCCAGTAACTACTTAGCACGAGGTGGGCTGTGAGCTCGTCCACTCACAAAAGCAATAAATTAAAAAAAAACTATAGCCGACAAGTGACAATTGCAAATGCAGCTTAGACTCAATGATGCAAGTAATAATGTTAGTTTTCTAAGAGGTGTGATTAGTAGTAGAGCATGGATACATACCGCCATGTTTCTGTCGCGAAGTATTGAACTTCGATTTCATGTCTTAAGTGACTGCATTCGATTTGCTATGTTCAAGAGCAACGGTAACTATTTAATGTCAAGAGGACCATGAGCTCATTTAACTATACTGGATAAATAGAGAAGAGCAGAAAGAAAGACTGTTAATATTATTCGTCCGTACCTTAGTCCGTAACATAAGCCTACTGAGTTTCTCGCCAGATCATCTGGGTCGAAATTCCTATCCAGCATTCACGAAACAGGACCCTTAGGATGTTATATCGCCTCTGAGAGGAGAGCTCGGGCAGTTATTAGAAAACATTTCCCTTCTGGTGCTCAACCAGTTCATCCATTCGTCCTAGTAAAGCCAGGATCTTTATATTAAAAAAAAAAGTATTAATAAACATTTTTCACGTAATGTAGCGTTCTGGAAATCTGAAATAGTGATATACATATGTGCTTAATCTCGAACTCGTAATCATACCAGCACACATGATATCGCAAGGCCACAAGCAAAAATGTATGAATATTTAGATAGATGCTTGTAAAGACAGGCAACTTAACAAGTCACATCAAGGACATTAGAAGTCTACTTGGGGCTTCTTAATTTTACTAGTGGGTCCCGGTAGTCGAAATTGGACTATAATTAATTAAAGTTATAAGTTTGTACACTATTATGATTCTATTTTCAAAGACCATTATACTTCTATAATCATAGACTTCGCCAAAAATACACTTTAGACAAATATTAATAAAGACAAATAATATTTGATCTATTCTCAATTTTGCCACAGACTATAAGCAATGAGAAAAGTTTGACAATAAACAAATAGTATGCATGCGTGTATGTGTCAAATACATGGTCGTGTGTGTAATGTTTTATTTATTTATTTAATGTATTTTTTATGCATAATTTTAAAAACTATTATCATTCTGCACTCCTTCTCTATATTCTCTATAAGTGTGGGAAATTTCATAATCCTCCGTCCACGCAATTTTCGTAAAAAGGGTTACAAAGTTTTTGCTTCACGTATTAATATATAGATTAGCGTGTAGAGCTCATTGCGCACGTATTAAGCAATTTTTCATACTATTAGTCGCGCTATCGTGCAGAAATAAATCTAAAATTGTCACTTCAAGACATCGAAAACGTACTTGTAAAAAACATCGCTCTATCAGTCCCAAATGTAGAGTCCAAGATAATAATAATCTTTAATTAATTCACTTGCACACAGCAACTGTAATCTATTCAATCTATTCGTTACACTCTTACATAACTTTTATTCGAATGAATACATTGAACAATTACGTAGAAATATGTGCTTTAGTTTTCACACATAGAGTCGTTTTCACTTTGAAATGACCGTTCGTATATTCAATGAAACGTTATGGTCAACTCCTAAATTTTATTCATGGGCAAAGAGCTATTTCTACTTTTATATGTGGCTTGATTAGATGCGCCATAAATATATATTTCTAGATGTATTTAGTTTTGATGACTTTTTGACGTAAATGGGAAAAATTTAGGCTTTTGTCTACAACTAGTAACTCTAGAATATTCCATGAACTCTCTTATTGTAGAGTCAAACGTTAAATTATTTTGTGCAACATTAATAACAATTATCCTTATTATTCCTGCCGATGTTTTAATGATAATGTTTCTCATCAACAATGTTGTTGATTACAATTCGCGCCAAAGTCAATTTCTATGACATAGAATATTACTATTAGTTAAAGCTGTCAACTCAGTTAAGCGCCTAGTTATTGCAAACACTTGTAGCTGCAATTACACTAAGGATTACAACGATGTTGCCATCTGTTAAGATTCCATATCAGTTAAGTTTTATCAAAAACTTTCAGTTAATCGCAAATTGAAACGCCTCGCGGTAGCCAATCTATCAATGAGGCTCAACTGATCGCGGTTCGTTATAACGTGATATAGCTCGCACGCGATTGGCTGTCGGTGACGTGATAGCTATTTATACTCCAGGTCCGAGTGTGCGCAAAGAAGTTCCTGCGCATGTGTGCCTGTGGTACACGCGGTATCGACGTGTGCGTGTGTTGTCGAGGCGCGCACTCTGTTTACAGCGCGGCGGTGTGGCCGGCAAGCGCACGCATCCGACTCGTTTATATCGCGCGGTACCGATTTCCCTGACGGCTTCCGAGCTGCATCAGCATATCTGGTGTTTTTCTCACTACTCACCAGTCGTCACAAGTGACAGACATACCGAAAACCGTCAGTCGGCTAACGTACATCGCGTACCATAGAGAAGTTTCAGCGCGGCTCATAAAAATTCGGTGTTTTCGACGGATGCGATGAATAAATTTTGCAAATCGAGTTTGTGTGTCGAAAAGGTCCGTGAGAGCAATGTTTTGATCGGCCGGCTGGAAGTGGAAGTGCCGGGTTGTGTGGACGCGATACGATTCGCGATTATCTTGATCTGTGTGAAATTAAGGTTTTTTCGGGAGGTGCTCGACCGAGTCTTCCACAAGGAGGCGGCCTGGAGTCCAGCCACGGCGTCTCCTGTTTACCAGCGCCCCGCACTTAGCACGTGCTAAGGTACGACTCGTTCTTTTGACCTTGGCTTACTAGCTTTTAACCCGTAAGGCTTGTACAATAATTGTTTGCTATCAAACGATTTAGCATGCTTCTTAAATTTATTGTTAACACAATTATCGGGTGCCATGTAAATTCAGTCGATTTTATTTTTCTACTCACATGATTGCTATACGATAATATAATATGTGTGTTTACTTTCTGAAACACACATACGTGTTTTCTTTGAGATTTCGGAATTTTAATAGAAGATCGTCTTTTATTACATTACATAACTCTTCATAAAAAAAACATTGATGCAGCTACAGAACAATATTCAAGAACTGACTTTTAATTGCATTTTTATTATTATTATTATTTTGTTATGGACTTACAAGTAATCTTAGATAATGCCAGTGTTACTGATAACGGTCTGTCAGTTGACATTCCTCGCATTTTGAGATATAAAATGGTAGATCTAGACATTTTGTAAATTTATGCGCTTATGAGGATTTGAAACAATCATAAAACCTGATTTGATTAAAACAAAACGATTCTATGCTTTGGACAGTAAAGATGTTTATTACTTTGTTTTATAATGTAGTTAGGACTGTTTTAAATAAACCAGTCGAGCTATTGCAGCTATTTTACTTTATTTTTTCTGTAACACTTGTGAGATTCTTAAAAATATGTACTGTATAAGATGTATTTCGATTTGTGCAAAGATTATTGTAAATTAATTTCCTTTTGATTTAACTAAATTAAATTTATAATTCTAACGTTTTTACATAAATATTTTGCGGATCAATTATACAAAATAAATAATAATAAATAGATTTGTGTGATGGTGTTCACAAAGTAAACGAAAATTAAAAATTTAAGCATGTTTCTGGTAGAGGAAGATGAAGGAAATCTAAAAAGCTAACAGGATTCATGCTTAGGCGTTAATGTGCTTAAATAACCAAAGAATGTGCCATTAAATGGCGTTGAGCGACGAACGGCGCCCGCCAAGTACCGTCGGCAAAATAAAGCAATTGAAGAACGCAGTTTATTTAAAATACAATTGTATGTCACTAACAATACAACAAATATGAAATGTTTTTAATCTATTGTTCCAATTGTATTGTACGGATAGGAAAAAAATCGAATATTAACATTTTAATTAGCAGATTTTATTTTATCTACAACAGTTTTTTTGTTAATTTTTCACGATTCAGTAATTATTTGTCTCTTGTTTTCTCTGCTCTCCTTAATTAATGGATACATTATTATTTAGGTGTTAATAGGCAAAGTGCATGGCAATATCAAGATGGGCTTAGACAGCGGCTGGGCTTAAGCCCTGGTACTGCCGATGTTTCTGAACGATGGTAACTACTTTGCATCCGGTGCCGAATCTAGATGGCAATAAAAAAGCGCTTTTGTTTAAGTTTAATTAAAAAATATATTTTTGAATACTTAAATTACTTGCGATGGCTAGTAAAAATGAGTGTGACCAGATATTTTTCATTAGCTATTAATTGCAAATACGTTTTAGTGACAATCAGTTTCACAGAACTGTTTAGATGCGTATCGTTTGTTTCGGTATCCATAGAGAAGTATACATTTAGGTCAAATGTTACATAGAGAGAGAGAAAGAGAGTTACATAATGTGAAATTTGCAAGGAAATTGTAAAAAAGTTAACTTTTCATTCATTTCAGATTTTATTTCAGTAATACAAGATTTCATGCTTTAATGAAACTACAGCAGTTATACATGAACTAAACATACTAAATCGTGTTATTTGAATTTATTTTCTTGTAAGTCATTAAATTCATTTTGATAAAAATTAAATTAATTAAATTTGATATAAATGATCTCATAAACGCTTTTCATCGGAAGGCTTTCCAGGTTACAAGTTTGTTAGATGAACTGAAAATTTATGAAATATCTCATGTGTAGGGTTGCAAGCAATTATTGTTATTAATGCATAAAATATGTGCATATTTACATACCATTTCAGAGCACGTGACGGGTTAGCGTTTGTTTGTTACGTGTGACCTGCTGCCCTCCGATATCAGAGCGACGTATTTATTTTATTTAAAGGTTTTTGTTGCCCGGTAACAAGAAAATCACTTTTTAGAAAAGCACTGTTTTAAAAAAAAACTTCTTGTCTTTATTCTTCCACTTTTACAGCATGAGCCCGGATCTACCTTTAGATCACAAACCTCTAGCCGTGAGATTTACGTGTTGATTGTTCCTTGTTTCGATCGCACCGATCCGGTGGTAGATTCTACGAAGCACTGCTCTTGCTAGGGCCAGTGTTAGCAACACTCCCGGCTTGAGCCCCGTGAGCTCACTTATACGTCAAGGAGAAGCTGAAATAGCCTCTCAAGGCTATCAGCATAGGTAGGGAAAAAAAAGTAGTATGCTACTGCAAGCCCGCACGGGCAGCTACCACCATTCTGCCTTATTACTGTAACGAAGCGGCTACGCGTCCCAGTTTAATCGGTGGGATTAAACAATTCAATTAAGAATCCAATCTTATGTTTTAAAGCGGGGAACCTACACGTTACGATATCCGCGAATTCAAAAAATAATAATAATAAAATCTGGTGATCATTTATTAAAATTACTTACGATTAAATAATTACTCAAAGTGGTCAACCATTTTACATCAGGTATGAGCTAGTTCACCAATCTATGCAACATAAAATCTATTACATGTTTCCTTCCGCATCAATATATTACTTTTTATATAATAATGTAACAATGAAATTATATAGTAAATTATATAAATATCAATTGTGTAAACTAAAAGTACTTTTTTTGAGATTAGCTATACATAATCCTGACTTAAATAACCCCTATTGTCACACGTCTTTTCCTTTCCAGTTGTTGAGGTGTAAAATACTTTTAAAAATGTCACTTTCACAATTACGGGAAATTTAACGACTTTTTATTAGTGTTTTCCATCAAGTTGTTTGGGCTACAAAGAAATCGTCTCAGACAAATATTTAAAAAATTAATCCCTTCTAAGAACAGTCGTATACATTTTTGATAACCGTTTTCGGAAAATACGTGCGATAATATTGTTGTACCTTTTGTTTCTAATAATTATTTGAATGCATATTCTGGTATTTAAATGTGGCAACTAAGGTTCGCTCTACGAGTACAAAAGAATTATATATGGCACCGTTGCTGATTAGACTAAACACATGCTGAATAAATAAGCACATATGCAAATGCTATGTGAGGTATTCCGAGATGATTTATGTTCCTGGAATTATTTTCTAAAACGCACCATCGTATATTTTTCAAGAATTATTTCCTTCTTAGTGAATTTTTATTATTTCTTGCGAAAACTAATACTGTTCCTAGAGCTCCTCCAAAGAGAACTTCGCTGAGACTTTTTGTTATTGCTTAGATAGGTGGACGACCTCACAGCCCACCTGGTGCTGAGTGGTTACTGGAGACCATAGACATCTACGACGTAAAGGCACCATCCATCTTGAGATATAAGTTCTAAGGTTTCAAGTATAGTTACAACGGCTGCCCCGCCCTTCAAACCGAAACGCATTGCTGCTTCACGGCAGAAATAGACAGGATGGTGGTACTTACCTGTGCGGACTCACAAGAGGTCCTACCACCAGTACCTACCACTCTTTATGAGACAATTTTTTTTACATGAAAAAAATATATTAAGACAAATTATTATCTACGGCATACCGTTTTATATTTCAACCTGTTGTGCAATAAAATCGCATGTATGTATATATTTAGCATTGTAAGACTTAACGATGTTTACAAATGTCGTAGCTGTATGTGTACACAGTGTAGGTACATAATATTACAAAACTGGTCACTCGTGAATGGGCAGCCGCCTACACTACAACAAACGTTTTTGTACCAGCCCGCGGCCAACGAAAATAATCGTTTCAACAGTGCACTAAGCGTCCTCGTTCACAACAGAGGCCATTTATATGAAGCAGCTGTTTTAATATTATAGCTAAAACCTTAGGCACTACCAGATAAACCTATTCGTTCCTTTTGGTTAGGAGATAGTTTGTCAGGCTTTTAATCAGGAGCTGTGACGTCAGAGTCTATATGATCTTTCTAACTAAAGAATGAAAGATGACTAGTTCCTACGACGTTGCGAGCTTGCTTCTCTTTTACTGCGACGCAATGGAACGCCGTTGGAGCAAAGAAAAATCTTTCTTACAACTGAAGGTATTTCATTGGGTTTCAATAGGGTCGTAGCATTAGTGAGCCCTGTGATCGTCTGTAAGGGACGAAAACAGCCGTAAGAATCATAGACGATAGCAATATTTGATGGTTGTCCATGTTTAAAAATGATAAGCAAAGGCTTTGATTTTATTATCGTTGAATCCGATTACAAAATAATCTGCTTGGTCGTTTGAAAGTCGAAATCGATGAAGTTACCCGTCAACGGTGTGATTGTTTTCTTTATTATTTTATTTCCGTTAAAATGTGCAAAAATCCGAATTTCACAGCAAAATTTCGTCTGTTTGTTTCACATTACTTGTGGCTTTCGGGACAGCTAAGGTATACTTAGGGCCTTAGGGCGCCATCAAATTAAAATCGGCCACCGACAAGGACAATGCAACATCCGTAAATAAAACAGTATTCTGTTGAGTATAATTTCAAAGATATACATATTTCTAAGTAGTCTCTCAGTCACTTGTTGAATACGATATTGTACTTAACGCTGCGAGCACACATCCGTGATAAGAAACTTCAAGTAGCAAGCACACATCGGAGCGGCCTCCACACATTTGAATCGACGTTAATTAGTTACGTTTGTTTTAACACTACAACACGCGCACATTCGCACACATAGGCACGTGTACGTACGGATGCCGATGTAAGCTGAACCTTCATTTTTTAACTGTTGTTGATTGAAAAATACATAAACAAATTGGTTGAATTTAGGACTTGAAAATTGTATATCGTACTTAATACACGTGCGTGGGCGCGTACATATTCCATATCGTGTCTCTTGCGGATTTCGGACAACTAGGAAACA